GGTGGTTTTTCTCTTTTAAAAAAAAAAAAAAAAAAGTGGGTTGGTCTCCCAATTCAAAGAGTTAGCATTAGCATCAGCAATCGGGTCATGAATTTTCTGTGTTGTTTTTTATTCCTCTTGTTTTTATGAGTAAGGCTTTTATGTGTGTCAATTTTTGATATATGTTTATTTTTATTTGTTGATGTTCGGTGGATGGTTAAAAGTATGTGCAGATGTGTATAAGGGGAAATGAATACAATCTTCTTGGGCGAAACGCCGTGTTCTCGCTGTATATCATGCTGAATGCACCTGGACTTGCTAACTCTGGGAGCTATAAGAAAGACTAGTGTTTTTGAAAATTTTCTGCAATACTCTATGAAGCTTGTTTTAAACAATATTGATGAAGACATTTCTCTTCAACAATGCACAGGTGTATCCTAACAAAGTAGACAGTCTTCATAAAATACAAGACATGCCAAAATCTTTGATATCTCACATTTAAATCAAACAGGATATTTTATGATCACTACTAGGGAAAAATGAAAAATGGTTTTCTTAGAAGTACAAATACATGGTATTTTTAGATAGTATAAGAATATTAGCCTCTTGTGGGTAAGAACTTTCATAGCACTATTTTAGTCAAACAATTTAACCAGTACTTTCAGATACATAGTTATTGTCCATGTTGTTTCACATAAAGTAACAATTTTGCTCCAAGAACAATGTAATTACTTTCTCTATTTAAGGAAAAAAGGGATGAGGGGCATTAAAAATAATTCCACGATGCACCAATCTATGCAAAAATTTCAGAAAAAAATTATTTTGATTTTGATTGATATTTAATTGACAGTGGTTTATAAAAATGCTATCAAGATTTTTTATAATTGTTTGACTAATTTATAAGCTAATATTCTATAAAACAACATAACCTAATGGGACATTTAGAAAGATATATCCCAAGATTGAAAGATGTGAAGGCCTACCACGGAGCTGCCTTTGTACTAAGTATCATACAGCAATGTCCATTCACTGATACTTTAGAGAAATAACAAGTTTCCATTCCTTGTTGAAAAAGGAATTTAATAATATTTGGAAAATATAAGTTAAGCTGAAGAGTAAATCTACATATTCCATGTCAAAATATCCGTTAATAAATGCAAACAGCAAAACATTACTTAAAATTGCTAAATCATATATATGCATGTTAATTATGGGTTGGATATACATTTTTATCTATAATTATATAAATAAATAGCATCACATAAGCTTAGTAGCATTGTCTATAGAAGACACATCACTTTATTATGATTTATTATAATGTGGATTTGGAAAATATTGAAAGCCGAGATTTGTATGTTGAAAATAATCCTGGAAGTTAAGACAGAACAAAAGTTATATCTGACTTGTGAAATATATTTTGAAGACAGTTAACAATATTTGGTGCTTGTGGAGTAATGTTGAAGTACATACTGAATGAAAATATTGCTTTGTTAAAAATAATAACAAAGTCATTTATCTATTCTTCCTTCTTTGATTGTCCATTCTCTCTTATACTTGATATGGTATAAGGAAATGTCCAAAAATGTTTTCGTTTACATTTGCAAGACAAGACGAGAAAAGAAATATAAAATAACTCTGTTCACAGTTTCAGGGAAGACCAAGTTACAATTTCAGAAGGCAGCAATGCAGCAAAGTTTTTGCCAAGCACTTTGAGTTATGATAAATTTCAAAAACCAAGGAAAAATATCTTTCAATCTTTTTAGTAAATTATCATTTAAAATAATGGTCTCCAGCGGGGAGGTGGGCATGGGCAATATACGTAAACTTACCATTTGTACCCCCATAATATGCTGAAATAAAAAATAAAATAAAATAATAGTCTCCAAAATAATTTTCTAATTGATATATATATATACATAATTAATTTCTCAATAGATTTCTGTAGGAAGTAAAGTGTTTATTATAGTTATTATGGGACTGTCTACAATTCATGACTTCTGTCATAATTGCATTTCCTCCTAAAATGATGTTTTGAAATCAAGTGAAAAGAAAGAAAAGGTTGTTGAAATTGACAGAAACAATAAAATTCCAGGGGGAGCTCTGAAGGCTGCCTCAGCAGAGTCCTCTGAGCAAGGTGGACGTTTGTCAAAGGAACTGACAGGCACGTAAAGGGAAAAACATCGCTACATATACATATGATACAAATTTGAAATTTTTATTTTAAAAAGAAGTTTATTTCTAGATTTTGCCTGGAGATTGTGGGGTGGGAGACATGCTTTGGTATTTATGAGAACTAGATGCTATCACCAGGTCAGGTTATAAGAACTGAGTTAATACCTGAGTCAAAATCAGAGAGAACTAAGTTAAATGCTGTTAATGTATAAATGGAAAGCACAGCAGAGTTCTTTTGAACCAAAGGTTATACACTGATGCTTTGGAGCAGGGGTCCTCAAACTATGGCCCGCGGGCCACACATGTGGCCCGCCTAGGACATTTATCTGGCCGGCCCAGTGTTTTTGCCACTGCTGGCTGTCCTGCTTAGCAGCCGACTTACTCTTCCCTGGCCTACAGTGTGCATATGTGGAATGTGACCCGCACTCTCCAACGGCCCTCCCACGGTCTGAGGGACAGTGAACTGGCCCCCTGTTTAAAAAGTTTGAGGACCCCTGCTTTGGAGTAATGTGATTTATTTTGCCTAGTTGTGGATCATTGCTTCTTCCCTTAAAAATCCCTATTGGCCCCCAACTGACCAACTTCCCTGAATATCAGTGGTCTTTTAAATCAGAACAAGTAATTGATAAGTCACCACAATCTCCACCATCCTCAGCCACTCCTTGAAGCTGTGTAGGAACTATCCATGCCACTTTACCATTTCATTTGCAGTAGCATGCAGTTTTACACCTCCATCAACCTTTTCCATCTCCATCAACATGTTTATGACACCAGTTTTCACTATTTAGAACCTAGTTATGATTTGTTAGAGCTTATATGCCTGACCTCTATATGCATTCCAGCTAGCAATGCTTGGTCTTATCCTCTCATTTTAAAAGTGAAGAAAATGGGGCCAAAAGGAGTGCAGGGATTCCACAATGTCATTTTATTTATAACATCATAACTCACTTAGAAAACCAAATCTAAACAAACAAACAAAAAAGGCAAAAAACCTTGCTATGC